AAACATGGGTGATGCTGCCATGGCAGAGTTTGGGGCTGCTGCTCCTTATCTAAGGAAATCTGATAAGGAGCGTCTGGAGGCCCAGACTCGTCCCTTTGATATGAAGAGAGAGTGTTTTGTACCTGATCCAGAGGTCGAGTACGTAAAAGCAACCATCCAAAGTCGCGACGGTGACAAAGTCACTGCTGAGACTGAATTTGGAAAGGTAAGAGAATTGTATTGTGTATTAAGAGGTTTGAGTTAAAAGATGTTGCATCATGTGCAGATGTTGCAGACGTTTTCTGTCTAGGTGGAGTTTAAAACAAAGCTGTTGTTTTTTTCTACAGACTGTCACCGTGAAAGAATGTGATGTGCATCCTCAGAACCCACCTAAGTTTGATAAAATTGAAGACATGGCGATGTTCACCTTCCTCCATGAGCCAGCTGTGCTGTTTAACCTCAAAGAGCGTTACGCAGCATGGATGATCTATGTGAGAATGCTAAAGTTTAAGATGTATACAAATCTGACTCATTCATACCATGTATGACATTATTCTATGTTTTTATTATCCTTTTACTCACAGACCTACTCTGGGCTGTTCTGTGTGACTGTCAACCCCTACAAGTGGCTGCCAGTCTACAACCAGGAGGTGGTTGTTGCCTACAGAGGAAAGAAGAGGAGTGAAGCTCCTCCTCACATCTTCTCCATCTCTGATAATGCCTATCAGTACATGCTGGCAGGTACAGAAATCTCTCTTCTTGTTTCATTTTGTGGTATTTTTTATGATACTTTAATATTTTACTACATAATCTCTTACTGACAGATCGAGAGAACCAGTCTATCCTCATTACGTAAGTTACACTCTGAGCTAAAGTTTATTTAGTTTTCATAGGTTGTAGAACAAGGCCTAAAATCCTTTAATGTATTTTTGACTCAGCGGAGAATCTGGAGCTGGAAAGACTGTAAACACCAAACGTGTCATTCAGTACTTTGCCAGCATCGCTGCTGTGCCCACTGGGAAAAAAGATGCTGCAAGTGAAAAGAAGGTTTGTTATCCAAAGGAAACAAGAAGATCAGAGTTCTACAAGAAATAGAACTGGTATCATATAAACCAACAAAGGATTTCAAAAACTATATATAGACATAAACTTTTGCATACACTCAGTATAGTTATTTGTATATTATATTACAATAATCCACTAACTAAATGTCATGTATGTTTATCTTTATGTTCTCCTTTAAATCTGAAAATTGTTTTTTGTTCGCTGGCATCAGGGTACCCTGGAGGATCAAATCATTCAGGCCAACCCTGCTCTGGAGGCCTTTGGCAATGCCAAGACCATCAGGAATGACAACTCCTCCAGATTTGTAAGT